GTGTGTGTGTGTGTGTGTGTGTGTCTGTGTGTGTCTGTGTGTGTGTTGTGTGAAGCTGTGTGTGCGTTTATGTGTGAAGCTTTGTTTACGCTTTGCAAATAACCTCAATAATCTCTGATTGTATTAATTTAAAATGAGTGGATTTGAGAGTTATTGTCAGGCTGCTCTTTGGATTTAATCATGTTTAACCTCATGCTGTTTGTTTTGTTGGATTCAGAGCTTTATAGAAAAAAAATCTGTTTTTGTTCAATGTTTTTGTTTTGTTTTTATAATCTGGTCCGTTTCAGTTTGCTCTGCTGAATCAACAATCTAAACTAAAATCCACACGGAGCTGAATTCATCTGTGTGCTGAAGAGGGGGCAAATWATAGGCCATCCATGCCCAGTGCAGCCTTTCCACATCTGAGTTTAATGTTGRCATAATCAATAACACAAATAAATAACAGTATAAACTAAGGCTCAGATTGGAGGAGCTTTTTTTTTAGGTTTGTTTAGCGAGACATYGAAGCAAAAGTAAAGTACTTTAAGAAAAGTAATGTTTGGCCACGAGACAATAACTTGTGGCTATGCTTTAGTTAATTCGTGGCCACAAGTTATCTCGTGGCTGCTCATTAACGCGTTGCCATGAGATAATAACTTGTGGCCTCTAGGGCTGCGCGGTATATGCGGTAGACGGTAAAAACGATACGAAGTTGGCCTACAGTAGAAATTTATCCTCTACCTATCCTATCGTCATTACGTCATCGCACCTGTGTCAGCATGGCTGTGAGTGCAGAGACAACTGAGCAGGAGTTTGAAATATAATGAAGAAATTCTAGCATTTTAAAACACATACAGAGAGAATAAAACCTCAAAATTTCCTCCTCCTGCTATACAGTAGAAAAGTTATGTCGTGTCGTGGGATCATTTCCTCCCTCCAGCTGCACGTCGCGCAGAGCGAAGCTTTAACAACTGTAGTTTGACACATACAATTGTCGGAGAAATTTTTTTTAATGTATTGTTACCCACAGAGATTATTTTAAAAAATGACGTGGACGTTCGTTCAGTCGTAAATCCATCTTGCTAATGTAAAGTCGGCTTCCGCTCTGATGATGATGATGAAGAAGATGAAGATGATGAGCGCGCAGCAGAGCAGRAGCTGATAAGTTCAGCAGGCAGATATTAAAGCAAAAATGTTGGGTTTAATTAAGATTACAGTTTGCTGAAAAAAAGCTCTAAAACTACATTATCTTAACACGGTTTTCTTCCAAGATATATACCGTTACCGTGAAGGGGTTCAATTTATACAGTGATATGAATGTGAGGTCATACCGCCCAGCCCTACTGTGGCCACACTTTAACTTYTAGCCACAAGTTATTGTCTCATGGCCAAAAAGTTATCTTTTGGCCACACGTTGGCCATGCATTAATGTGTTAGTTAATACATGGCCATGAGTTAATAACTTGTGGCCATGCATTAACTAACATGTGACCATGAGACGATAACTTATGACTARGTGTTAGTTAATGTGTGYCCACAAGTTATCTTGTGGCTACTCATTAACTTACACATTACCATGAGATAATGTTAATAACTTGCAGCCATGAGATGATTTTGAGCAGCCGTTTCTCTTTGTGAGATACAGACATTGTTGGAGTCAGAGAACATGCTGTTTTGGGTTTTACTGTTCAAAGATACCCTGCACTGTTTTTATTATTATTATTATTATTA